ACACTGGTCCTCATCCCCTTTTGCTGACTCTCTCAAAACACGGGCAGCTGCTGCAARAGTGGCAGACGACAGCAGGGCAGTAATACCTTAAAGCACTTCAGCCGGATTCATCAGAATTCATCTGTCTTTAAGATTTTTTTAAGGCATTCACTGGTAAAGATTTTTTTTTTTTTCAGGTGTTAAAATACGCTGTTCCTGGTGGTTTTGTCTGGTCTATGAAAGCAGGACAAGGTCAATAATCTTTACATCTTAGTTTGGGTGGAAGGGAGAGGGAAACTAGAAGAAAGTGTAGAGCAGTGCCTAAGCCTCAGTGAAAACCAAAGGGAGATGTGCACCTGTCTGGGACTGTGTGCCTTAGAAATTATTTCTGTATTTCAGCTTTAATGTGTGTGCTTCTCTACAGCCTTGGCCACGGCCAGAACCCACCCCTGTCTGTACTAACACCGTACATATACAGCAAAAACACTGTGTGTGGACCCTCAAAGCCTTTTGCTGTTCTGAGATGGTAAAATATACCCAACCACATGAGGGTCRTGTAGCATTTAGTTACAGTTTTATGACATCAGTTACATCAGATTGTTCTCTAATTACACAAATACACATTGCATTATGAAAGAAATTCTGTATCTTTTTAATAAAGTTGGTGGCTTTGTTTTTTTTGTTTTATTTTTAATGGCAAGATCTGGCAGTATAAGTAGTTCTAAAGCACTTGGTAATGATTCTTCACATTAATGGGGGAAAGCACAGTAGAATTTGTGGCTTTGTTGAGAGCAAGACATAGGCTGAGAAAGATGCTCTGAGGCCACAAGGTGACCAGATGCAGCAGAGGAATAGAAGTAGGAGCCTCTTTAACAGACTTTTTTATCAAGCTAGTGAATTACAGGATTGTATATTCTTAACATTCAAGAATTGTTGGCTTTTGCCTTGCTATGGTTTTATCTRTGTGAAGGCTGTAGAGGGAATGCAGTGGGTTGAGTCTTCTGATCCCCTGCCTCTCAATTGCCACCAAAGTTCAGCGCAGTTATCTCTACACTGAGCTCTWCAAACTGTGCTTTTCCCTCTTGACCAGTCCAAAGTCCTTTATTTTCAGTATTTATTTTGCAACTGTTTCAGYTCAGTGTGTTAGCATCAGAGCACGAGACACAGCTTTTCAGCCAGTTCCTATTACAAGGACCTGGCCCAGTGCTGTGAACCCAGTAGGCAGAATGTACCAGCTCTTTGAGGGTTTTGTGTGGAAGTCATTAAACCAAGGCAGGGGATTGTTTCATTTACTTCATTAAATTTGTAATAGGTTTCATTAATTTCCTCTGGACTTTCATTACAATGGGAAGAAACTGAGTCAAGTTCTGGATTTCCGTTTCTTATGAAACAACTGTGCTTGCTTTTATTTCAGCTGGATACACAGTTCTGCATCTGCTACTCCAGACTCTTTCAAGTAAACTAACAGAGAAGGTCTACTTTTAGACAGACTTTTCTGCTCTGTTTCCTTTTCTCTGATGGTAGGGCTCCCAAAACAGCATCCAGAAAACAGGAACTAGCCTTTGATTTCTATGCCTTCAGTTTTCTAATCAGAATCCCAAACTGGGATCACAGGAAATAGGGTGCACTGTTCCACAGCTTTCCAGTACTGCTGGAAGAAAGTTGAAGGTTTTATTACCCGTATCTAGGTCACAAGGTCAAAACTAATATGCTTGTGCTGAGAGGGGAGGTAACCCAAATGCCTCTGGATAATGTGATTTCATGATGGCAGGCAATCTTCCAGATTTCATTTAGTTTCTTGAGAAATCCTGGTTRGCAATCAGGAATAYRTTTCCACACCTCCTCCTTASAGCAGACCAAGTTGCATTTWAMGTTTTTGAAAAGATCTTATTCTTCTCATCCATGTAAAATGATGTAGTGTATTTTACTTCCTCCATTACTAAAAAATGAGCTACAAGCCAGGCAACACAAAGCAGGGTTTCAACCACCTCTGTCTCTGACTTTTCAGGAGAGTACAGGCARGCTGATCCTCTACCCTGCTTTCTCTACCACACACTGGTTTCTCTATTTACATCACAACCTCTTTGTGCAGTGTAATTGTCTAGCACAATGGGGCCCTCAGTGGGAACCTCAAGGTATTTCCATCATAAGAATAACAAACATCAGCAAGGAAGAAGAACAAAAGAAGAAAGGCTGCAAATACAAGAATAGGTGCAAACCTCATCAGATTGAAGAGTTTCAGAATTTGGGACTTTTTWAACTGAAAATAGAAGTAAATGAGAGGGTCCAACACTGGCTTTTATCTAGAGCTGTGATGTGTATCTCCRAAGAATCGTGGCTTGCACTGTATGCATTGCTTCTACTGTTAGAACATATCAGGTGAGAGTACAGTGACATTGTAGCCTGTTCAGCATCATCACAACCACACGTTACATTTTGCTTTGCTGTCTTCTACCCAATATTTATGTTTTAAAAGTTGGTTAGGAGTTTTTACTCCTTTCCTACAAATGATTTATTTTGTTTTCTTGGAACAATAGGTCACATTGTTTTTCTCCTTCGGAGCTTTCACTTTGATGTGTTGGCTTTGACTGCTAGAGGAAATGTTGTGGACCAGAAAAGAAGCCTTGCTGTGGTCCAACTTCACTGTAAACAGCAGGTGCAACAGCTGCTGCAGGAAAGCCACTCGTTTTCCTGCTCTTTTTCAGGGATGAAAGAGGGGGATGTAGCAACTTATTTTTCTGGAAAATCTGAGACATAGGAAACAAAAATAAAGACACAGTTTGAAGTGTTTCCTTTATTTGTCAAAAGTCTCGACATGCAAAATAAAGAACATGTAAATACTGTGCTTTAATATGTAAATACTGCATGCAAGTATGCAAATACTACACCTGGATATGATAGGCTTAGTGGTATCTATWAATCTGAGTACACCAGGCCAAACACTCAGCTGAGCTATAGTTTGATCTGCCTCCTCAGCAGAGCCAAACTAATTTTCACCAGCAGTTATGTGGCAGCCTCTTACAGTGATGTGCACAAGTATAACAGTAATTTCTCCTCTATACAGTCTTAAAGGGAAGGATGKAGAAGAAACTGCTTACACATATCAGTGCTTCCCAAGTTCAGAGCATACRGTTAATTAATAAGCCCTTAATTGCATGTGTTTCTCACAAGGATGTCTGGGGCAAGCTGTAAAGTGTGTGTGTGCAATTCTGTGAGTGTTCATACTGACCCTTGCTCTGGAGCTACAGGGAACAATTCTCCCAGCTCTCTGAACAACGTGAGCTATGGGCTACCACGCTTCTCACAAGTCCACAGC